CGGGTGATTATTATGATGGAGAATTTGGTGGAATGAAAATTGGCAGGGGAAACTGAAGTACTCAGAGAAAACTCACCAATCATGGACACTTTCTAAAACCAACTGGAACTGTTGTCCCAAGTGGTCACCTTCAGAGCCCACAATCATGAGAAATATATCAGAAAAGAAGATCCTGACTGCATCGAGCATGTTTCAACAATTCCCATTGTGTTTATACAGCATATCCTTATGATGACATTAAGTGGATCTGTGGGACTGGATTAGAGCATTATTGTAACTTCACCCCTGGTAATCATTCACCTTCAAGTGGATTTATATCTTTTGAGTACTTGAGTATTGTAATCTAAATGAGAGGAGGATGTGTGAGATTTCATTAGCATATATTATAACTGTTATTAAAGAAGGTATCAGGACATCTCAATTAGTACAGTGATTAAGATATGGCTGTACAACTGGGTTTGATTTCCTGCAGGGACAAAGATTTCTCTCTTTGCTATCACACTGAGCCCACTCGGTCTCCTATCTAATGGGTACTGGGTACTTTCTCCAGGGTAAAGTGGCTTGGATGTGAAGTTGACCAATTGCTTCCATTTAGTACCAAGGTGGCAAGCTCTATGCTTGCTTGCCATGTCTTCCTAGTATGGTGCTTCATTAAGCGGCCTCCGTAGTCTAGGGGTAACGTTCCCACCTCGTGACTCAAGGTATGCGGGTTCAAACCCGGTGGAGGTCGTGGAATTTTTAAGGGTGGAAAAATTCAGGAAACAAGTCCTCCGGGAGGGACTTTAAGCCGTGGGTGCCATGTTGTAGCTTTACAGCATGTAAAAGAACCTCATGTCACAAGGGGACCACTGAGCCAAATTCAGGACATTTCCCACCCAACAGTAGTCTCTAATGCCTCTGGTAGATGGGGCAAGCATCGAGATACCGCCGAGCCAGTAGAGGCTGAACTCACTGGCTGAGTCGGGACTGATGGTACGCACCAGTACCGGTAGGGAATACAGACTGGTAGAATATCATAGGGGGACGCACAATGGACCAACAGTTGGTCTAAGTGCATGGGGAAACCCACCCTCTCCAATACAATACAATAGTGCTTTATTACACATATGGACAACTCTAGTTTACTGTTACCAAAATTCCTTCAGTTTTAACTGGTTCATATATGTAAAATATATTTATGCAAGAGATATGTTTGCCAAACTTACAGCTAGGTAACACACCTGAATTATCTCCCCAGACACAAGGCAGAGTTTCTTATTGTCATCTAGAACTGTGTTCAAGCTCTCAATCCACACAGCATCAACTGGTCCATCAAATAAAATCCACTTGCGGTCAAGAGTAGGGGAAGCTGCATATTCTCGAAATATACTGGCCAACACACCTGATACATGAAAACAAAGTTAATTTTACAACTGGTCATCAGCTCTGGAATTAGTTGCAACTCATACAATTATGCAGCAATAAATATTCACTTTTAACATACCATCAGACCATTCATGTGACACCGGATGAAAACACCCATACAGCTGTCCCAGGGTAATTGCTTTTGGATTAATAATTCGATACTGAACTCTGAATTCCTCCAAGGTTGACTCTGTGTTATCTCTTATAGCTGTCAAAGCTTCAGCCAGCACCTAACATGCAAATGCAGCACTACAAAACTTGAAATCAAGATAAAAGACAATAACAATACATACACAGATATGTTATACAAAGCTGAAAACTACACATTGTGAAATTGTGGCGTGTTTGTTAATAGAAGGTACAATGAAAAGAGTAACTTGTGATAGTGCTGCATAATCACTGTGTTTACAAAGTCCATAAGTATGCACTGTTTTTTCTTCTGGAATAAAGTATCATAACTCAGATATGATGGAGCAGGCAAGGAACCACTGTTTAAATGTTCTAACAACAAATTAGTCTTTAAATTGTTGAAAAAGCAATGCTGAATTTCACATGTGAAATTTACCAGCACAACTAAATCCTATTTGTGAAATCTCTTAGTACAGATCGTAAATATTTTAACAAATTATGGATCAAATATCCCCCCCAAAAGGTGTCTCCACCTTGTGGTGGTGGGGCTTGCGTGACTCTGTGACCTGGAGAGCTATGCTGGCAGTAGTTTAACTATTAGTAGGGTCATCCATGCCAGAAAGGTCAAAGGGTAGAGTCCAGACTAAGAGAGTTACCCTGGTCCTCCAGGTTTGGGGTTGGGCCTGAGGCTAACAACCTCATCCTGTAAAATGAATTTTGTTCATAAACCTAACAACCAGCCTTGGGTCATCATGCATGGGTCAATTCCTATGGCAGCGTGCATTGGTTGTGAAGACTAGTTTTAGAGGAGGCCAAGTTTCACCCAGGGCTGTAGCACTGAGTGGTAGGTATGTATGGATGAAATACTGTCTACAAATGAACAATTACAAACACAGAGACCGTGAGAAACTCTGGAGTTATATCTGCCAGATTTAATGATGCCAGGATCTGTAATTATGTACTAAATTATTGTCAAAATGAAAATGATGACAAAAAATAAAGAAAAACAAGAACATTAGAAAGGACAAACATCTGTAACATATTTATAACTGAAAGCAATACAAATTCTGACTATAAAAGGATTTGAATCTATAAGCATTTACGCATGCGCCAAGCAAGGTAATCTACAAGCTAAGTATCATTTGATTATGAAATATACCATTTAGAACACAAGACTTTTAGAAAAGAAAGTCGGTGCAGTCTAAATGTTGGTTTTATATAAAGAGTTACCATATTTTCACTTCTTCTGACCTGCAGATTTTAGGGGGGAGGGGCTGAAACATTGGAAGAGTTAAATGTGAAAGGTATTTTCAGATATTTTTTCAATATCTAAATCAAACCAAGCTTTGTTTTCTTCTCTACTAACAGTAGAAGACACACAGCAGCATAGTTGGCTGAGGCACTATGCTACCAGTCGGAAGGCTGCAGGTTCGATTCCTGATCGGATTTTTCAATTGACCTAATTCCTCCAGGCACACTATGGCCCTATAGTAAAGGGCAGCTGGTGCGTAAGGCTGACAACATTACCGCCATCGGTGAGCTGACTGTCTACACAAAATGCGGAGCCTTGACATCTCACAACCCTATGGGCTTTCACAGCCTGTTACAGGGATAGTTTTACCTTACCTGATATGAGCAACTTTTGCCACCCATAGGCATTCCTACAATCATAAGGCCATGTCGTATAAGAGTCATCTCATAAATTTGAAGGATCTTCTCCAAGAACCAAGATGTGGCTTGGAGGTTATGATTTGCAATGCATTCTTTCAGAGAACTCACAAGCTCATCATGATCTGGTTGTGGAAGTTCAACCCCTGGGAAGAGATCTGAATAGATCCCCTCAAATAAGGATGCATCCTATATGAATGACACAAAAAAAATAATTGTATAATTAAATACAAGCTAGAAGCTTAGCTCATTCAAACCAGCTGTAAATCTATAACTAATATTTTGGAGGTTTGTGAGTAATTTAATAATTTTCCAGAATTTTTTATTAATGCTGGAACTTCAATCCAACTGTTTGTTTAACATATAAATATGATAAAGGCTTTTTCTGTATTTTTAGTCCATTAAACTTAAAGGAAACCACATTATCACATAAAATTTTGTGACTGGAAGAAGCATCTTTGTATATAAGTGCAGATGTATGCAATGCACCATCAAGAAATTGCTAAATTTTCCTAAACTTTGAGTCTTAAGTCTCTGAAAACTTACTTACTATCAACACACACATGCACACACAGATAAACAGGGGAATATTCATAAATATATATGCATGTTATCTTTTGTGTATGTTGTGCAATTCTCACACTACAGCAATTTTTACATACTTTCACTTCTATAACATTGCCATCAGAAGGACAATGATGTAACTTAACTGTTTTAACAGACAAATCATAGAATGAGATAAAGGTATGAGAGTATGAGAGGAAACTAAAGTAGGATTGTGAGAAAGTTATGAAACAACTTTTTTCTGACTGAATTTCAACAGGCTTCTTCATTAATATAAAATACTTAGTACTGTTCTCTCCGAAAGAAAAATTTCTGCCTTTTCTACATGATATAACATTAAGAAAATATGCAGGGAATAAAGTAAAGTAGGAAGGAAGATTTACAAGTATACTCGTACATAAGAGGGGCTGGATGGAATAGAGGCAAGGAAACCTACCAGGAGCAGGAAGGAAGAGGGAAGGAAGAAATGGATGGATAGATGGATGGTTAGGAGGAAGGGAAGGAGGGAGGGAAACAGGAAAGGAAGGAAAGTAAACTGGTGTACTGAAGTGCAGGGGTGAACTGAGCAAGACAATAACCAAATCTTGTACTACATGAATAATGGATAAATCGGACAGGGAAGTGGTTAACAACTTACAAAAACCTGCATTTTGAATATCTGTAAATTTATATATATATACAGGTATTATTCCATTATTCTAACCTCTGCAAGGAACTTTGATAGATTAACATCAATGATGGCCTGAAGTACAAGCACAGATTCATCCAGATCCTTATATTTGAGCTTGAGATTGCCAGCAGCAGTAAGCACAGTTTTAACAGCCCGCATCCCATAGTCGTAATGATTCTGAGAAGACAACAGCTCTGAGCAAAGCTTGTATGTATGCACAATCTTCACTGCAAGACTGAAAATGCAGTAAAAAATTCATAAGATTTAGAAAAGGTTAAAAGGAAATTATTCTGAAGCAAGAATTGATACTAAAACGTATCATCACATTGGAAGTACTGATTAATTAGAATATCTCATTGCACTTTATATGTTATGATTTTAAAAAGCCTAAAATACAGCTACAGAACTGTTACCCCATATATGGTTAAGAATAAAAATAAGCCATTTAGCAGAAAGCCATTTTGTTCTCTATCTTTGGAGAATTGTGATTAAGATCATCTTTTTCATTATACCAATATTATATTTGGCGGTATGATCATGACAGGCTGAGTAGTTTGCATCAGCATGTAACATATGGTATTTGTACAACCTGAAGATCAATTCCCATGGTGACTAAAGATCGGTCTTGGTTTTAAGAGTTATATCATAAATGCAGTGTCTGAAGTTTGAAAGATTGAAGGGGCTGCTGTCTCTCTTGCTTTTTAGAGAACCCAAAATCATGCAACTTATTTAACATTCATAATGTTAACTTAAGATTAAATGCTGTTATGTTCGGCTAATATGAAATTATGCATTGACTCTGAATGTTCTATAACAAAGGAGCTGTAGTAGAATCTTGTGAAATAAACTAATACCTTCTAGCATCCAAGAATCCCACAGAGTAGAGATAAATCTCACCAATCATGGCATAATCAGGTACCATCATAGCTACAGTTCTGAATAACACCTTTAAATTATCTGGTAAATCTTGTCGACTTACATACCTGAAAATCAATAATGTGAGTTTATTGGGCTGTACCGTACATATTTTATTATTATTTTGGAAGTAATGAAAGAGTAGACTAAGAACATGTAATTTAATGTGACTTCTGAACTCATAAATTTCTAATGGATTTTAAAATTGCGATTAAGTTTAATTTAAAAGTTTTCCTACAATTCGTAATCTCTGAGAGTATATTTTCTGCTGTCGTTCTAATATCAGAAATTACAGACATGAACAGTAGATCATGTAGGTAATAAAGATCCATACCCTGAATTCATGGTAATGAAGATTGAGCAGGTCCTTTCAAGAGATATCTCTGTTCCTTCAAAGACAAATCTTCCCAAGTTCTGGTCAACAGCCATCTTGATACTCAGTATCTGTTGAGCCACTACTGACAGCACTTCCAAATCAATACGGTTGAATTCATCAAAACAAGCCCAAGCTCCTGACTGTGCTACACCCTAAAAACACATCAGCATTTTATATATCACATGAAAGTAAGAAATTTACAAATTGACTCTTTATTAATATCACATAAAAATTAACAAGTGCATGCTGTGCACTCTTACATACAGTGAGATTTCCTCAGATGATCAGCTGTGTCAATTTATAGAATATATACATCATTTCAGAGACTGTCCCTATCTCTATCATCAGCAAATGACATAGTTCAATCAGAGAACTGTAAATATATGTGTTGTACATACTGACCAACATTGGTTATACGAGTACATGATATTGTCACATGATGATGGAGATAGTTCCTGAAACTTTAGATTCACCTCCAAATTGATTATCCTGATTGTCTAAGGAGATTTTATTGCTTCCAGTTGCTGAGAAGCTTCAAAGTCACAAGCTTCTAAATTCCTGTAACTAAACAAACTGACTCACTGCAACTGCATCTATTTTGTATTCTGGAGTAATCTGACTGAAGTTCTTGTGCTCTTCCTCAGTCCTTTCAAATGAATACTGGGATAGTACCTAGAAAAAAGTCATGACCACCTTCTCTTCCATCCTTTCTTGTATATAATGGACAGCTGTTCTCATTTAATTCAATACTAAATAACTAAATAATAAATAAATAAATAAATATGTTTTTATAGTAATGTTCTTTTTAAATTATGTTTATTAATTATAATTGTAATAAGTTTTTTTTTGTTCTATTATCTATGTTGGTTGACTAGTGTGTGTGATTTTGGTTGTGTGACTTATGTAATTTATTATATGTATACATCTATTATCAAAGGGACTATTTCCACATCCTAGGTTTTTTGCCTGTATGGATATATGGAAAATAAAGGAATTGAATGAATGAACTTTTGCAGCTTACATATCACTAAATAACCTGTAAACAAATCAATTAAGTTTCTATTAGACAGACAATTGGCCTGAACAGTAAAATGAGAAAAAATCTGACACCAGGAGAGAACGTCAGGAACACAGAAAATGGGACATAATGATGGAAAGCTTTGAATTGAGGACCAGTCTATGCTGAGTCCTCTGTAAAACTGATGTAAGCAGAGGCCTCTATTTACATTAGCTCTTTTTAATGGTGATTTTGAAATTATTTGTTTCATATGTCTAGTGACCAGATTGGAAATCTGAAAAAGTTAGATTTATTTACTCATGGTGTTAGACAAGGTTCCCCCCCCCCAGCCAATATGCATTGAAATGAAGAGTCAAGATAGCACTGTTAGTACAGCAACTGACTACAGGCTGGACAAAAAGGGCATTAGGGTTTGAGTCCTGGTAGAGGCAAGATTTTTCTCCTCTCAACATTGTCCACACCTGTTCTGAAGCCCACCCAGCTTCTAACCAATAGGTACCGGGGACTTTTTCCCCCTGGGATAGAGTGGTTCAGGAGTGAAGCTGATCACTCACCTCCAACCAGTGCCAAATACATGGCACTATACATCCACTCCCCCATATGTCTTCATGGCACAGTGCTTAATTAATTCAACACAGCAAAAACTTTTTTACCCATTTGTATGCATATATGAAAACAATAGAAGCATACTGTCTGACTGGTCGAAAGTTGCACATCTGCTACTGCCTTATGCATTTCAATCCTGAAGCTATAACCAAACATGGGACTACCAGCAGACATGATTTTAGAAAAAAAGAAAAAGGGGGGGTGAAAAGGACTGGTATTTTGTATAGCAAAAAGGATCCACTTCAGAAGCTGGTGCGCTGCTAGCTAACAGTACAACATTTTACCAAACACAAGTTAATTTTGAAATTTAGGATAATAACATGTACATTTAAGACATAAGCCACCTTTAAAATTCTGGAATTGAAAGTGTAATCAATTCGAATGAACAACGCTTCCCGAATTTCATGTTATTGTAATAGTTGGAGAAATGCCGTATTTAATTTAATATATGCTGCAAAGGTGTGTCTATCATCAGATTTATGTCTAACTCATGTTAAATGAAGTCTTGTTCATATTTTTAAAACAACTACTTATAATGTAACATTATTTCAGTGAAAATATGCTAATGTTATCTTAGAAGAGAACCATCATTCCTAAAAATAAAATAAAAATCGTGAACTATGAACACTACTTCTATTTATGTACTTATATAATCAGAGCTCTTGTATCCAGCACCTGCCATTACATACACTGTTAAACCTGACACAAATAGGAAGTTGCACATCTGCCAGTGCTTTTTATGTTTTGATCTCGAAGCAAAAACCAAGCATGAGAATACTAGCTGACATATTTTTAGAAAAGAATCGCTGTGCACAACTCTTTTGAGGGGGAATGCATTTAAATTCCCAGTCAGAACTGAGCTGTGGAAGGAGTTTCTATTATTTCTATTGTGTTGGATTGTACTCATCAAGTCACAGATATCTCTAATGTTTTTTGGCTTTCAATGAAGCTTGGAAGTTTACATTTACATTTATTTTCACTTTATGGATCCAATCACCTCCCTGTGGGGCTGGATATAAAACATGTCACCCATTACAAATTAATGATGACTACACATCATACGTCCTTGGTCCAAGAAAATATATAATCAGGCCTCACGCAGACAGCACAAGTTGTCAAGACAACACACATAGGCCATGAAATTCACACCTTGCCGTTCCACACACACTGACCAGCCATATCATCAACACAGTTTCATTATAACCTATTAAAATTCATAAGAAACACAGACATCATACATACTACCATACTTAACAACAAGCAAGTCTCAACAACGTATAATAGAAGCACACAGACCATTTATTAATTCTTAACTTTTGAGCCCCTTCCATGCTCAACAAATTTGTCAATAGAGTAAAATGAGTTACTTTGCAAAGTTTATGAACACAGAAAACTGATAGGTAATATGTATGTACACAAATAAAGGCAGGAAGAAAGACCAAAGATAGCACTGCCTCATCCTGTTTATTATTATTGTATCAAAACATACAATGTCATCTATAAGTTCACTGCAGCTGGATAAAGAAAACTCCAATTTTCTTTGTTTGACAGAAACACAAAAAGAGGCACATGAAGCTTTGCTATACAAATCAGATTGCATTTGCAGAGGCAAAAACACAAACTGAAAATTGATCTAATATGTCAATGTGCTGTAAAAGCCTGAATCTTTTTTGACAAGGCCACAGAAGTTCAAATTCCCATGCACTGCTTGTATTAAGTAGATAAAAGCACACATCAGAGCATGCAATATGTGAACACAGTGTGGCACCCCATGTGTGATGATCATGTGACGACAAGCAGTAGTCAGATCTCCACACTGAAAGGTTAAATGGTAATAAATAATATTTTGTTAAATCCTTAAGATTTGTGCTTTATTAATCATACTACCAGTCAGCTTCAAAATATTTTTCTAAATAAATACTGTCACGTGTTGGGTGTATAATGTGACAACTAACTTCACGCCTTACTGGATATAGCGAATTTTATTTCACATTCGCTCTTACAATCACACAATTTACAAGCTCAACATTACTGCCATTGGCAGTATCACAAATACTGTACTGCGATTAACTGGTGACTGCCTGGCTGACTCGTAACTCAAGAACTTGAGAACTCGTTCACTGCTGACTGGAGAACTGTCTTTGGCCGCTGATACACTCTTAACTTGTTCACTGCTGACTGGAGAACTTACTTCGGCAGCTGATACACTTTTAACTGACAACAACTGCACTCGGCAATGGCCACATTTCAACTCAACCGTCTTCATAGGCAGTGTAGCTCTCTTATATAGTTGCAGTGCCCGCCTGTTATGCAATGGGTACCGCTGTTGCCTGTTACCTGTGTCACAGCTGCGTTGCGTGTTATGTCACCGTGGGGAGTAACGACAGCGCTACGATGCCGCCACGTACCGCTGGGGAGGGAGGGGTCCTCCGTTGTGCAACATGTCACACTATATTACAAAATTGTTATTTGAATTCTTAATTTAACTTAATTTTCCAAATACCCAATAAGCTGAGAGAGCTCAGTTAGTGAAGAGACTGGCTGTGGGCTGATTAACTGAGATTAAATTCTTAGCAGGGGCAGAATTTTTATAATTTCTGCTTGTCAGATCAGAAATTGGGCCCAGCAGCCTCGTACTCATAGAATGCCTGATGCCCCTTCTCCAAGGATATTAGTAGCCTGAGCATGACACTGACTAGTTACTGCTACCTACTGTCAAGATTACGATTATATGGACTTCTACCTACAAGTTACCTATAAAACTTCATAGAGTGGTGGTTAGGCACAGGGACAACTTAAATCTTATGTTTCCCCAGATGCATGTGCTATCTATATAGGTGTTGTTGTTAAAGAAAATTTTGGGGGGATACACAATTTTCCTCAACCCTAAGATATAATTTGTTTCCTCCCAAGCTCTTGATCGAACCATTCTCATCCTTGAGGTTTCTCCTTTGCATGCTGTCCCTAATCCAATCCTTCCAAGTGCTGAATGGTCTACGGCACCTCCTTTTCCCTTGTGGGCTCCATGCTGCAATCTGTCCAGCAATTCTACAGTTTTTCATTCTCTAACTATGTACAACTGAAAATTCATTGAATCTGGTTCCCTGCTAAGAGCATATTTTATTTATAGACTTGTGTACCTTAAAAAATTTTCCCATGGTTTTGTAGTCCAGTCCATCCGAGCAGTTGAATACAATGCACTGTTTTGCCACAGCTTTTGCTACATCCTTAGTAGTTTCTGTTTTCCCTGTTCCAGCGGGACCATCAAGTGCTCCTCCCAGATGTAAACGCAGAGCACCAATCAGTGTTCTTTAAAAAGAAAAATACATACCCTTAAGTTTGAATATAAACATTAATCATAGCCTAAAATTTACTGTGATATAACTAACCAATTCAATGGAAGAGCGTCCTTCTTGAGATAACAAACAGTCATTTGACTGGTCAAGATATATCATGTCTTTTAGAGAAACAAAAGTTTTAGTACAATGTTCCCAAGAGATCATCAACTGGTGCTTGTCCTGAGCCACATGACCTCAGACCACACCCTCATATATTATTTTAAGCTTTATTTATGATCATGACTCTCATGTGGTCTATGGTTTTTAGCAATAAATTTTCAATATTTCATTAACTGAACTTGGTCTAACAATTCAAGGATAAAATTTTAATACTGCTTCACCATAAATAAGATTATACAAAAAAATAAACATTCATATATTGCATATGACTTCAAACTCCAAAGGGAAACATATCACCACAGAAGGCCTATATACAATGGGGTATATACTTATTACTTTTCCATTAAGACTGTTAAAACTTCTTGACTGATAAGGATATTATTATTATTATTGTTGTTGTTGTTGTTGTTATTTTACTGCAACTGGGTGTTCACCAGGTATTTTACACTGATACAGACAAGGAAAGGCTATAAACAAAGGGAACAATACAAAACAAAGTACATACAATAAACAAGGTACACAAAGTGCAAATCCAAACATATAAATTCACACAAGGGTATGTGATTGTGTTCATTTCACTGCACTCAAACAAGGGCACTTCACATTACTTCACTTGCTTCCATTCAAAATCTGCCTAAGGCCTCTTTACTTGTAACTGCTTCCTTAACCCTCTTTCTAAAAGTGTTTAATTTACAGTGGAAAAACGCTAGTATGCCAGCAGGTAAACTTTTCCAATCTTTTATGGTCCAATTTACAAAGGATTATTTACCAACATCTGCTCTTTGTTTCCTACTCCTAACTTTCCATCTATGATCATCCCTACTCAGGTAGCATGGTTTAAGCAGGCTATCCCTTATCGCTTTCCAAGCTGGTCTCCTGGTGTATGCCTTGTGAAGAGCACACAGGTGAGGGTCATCAGTCTATGCTGTGCCAAAGTTCCCCAATCAGATTCATTTGTAGGATTTGAAAATTAAGCCGCTCTTTTTTGTACCCGATTTAAACCACTAACCTGCCATTCTCTGTATGGATCCCAACATACCGCACCATATTCATGTATCGGTCTCACTAATGATGTATACGCGAGGAGTTTCGTGTTATTATTTCCCTGTTTGAGTATACACATTATTAAGAGAAGGGCCTTCCATGCTTTTTGTAGTGTATGGTTTACATGATCTGCCCATCTTAGATCGCTGCATATGATTATTCCTAGGTACTTAAAGCTATTTATGTCCAGAATTAATTGATCCCCAAAGTAATATGTCAGTTGACCCTTCACCCTAGATTTCATGAAACTTACAGCTTTACTCTTATCTGGATTATCTTCATTTCGTTTTCTATCGCCGATTCCCCTAATTTATTTATATCCCTCTGCAACTTGCCAGTGTCACTACTATTCAAAATTTTCCTGTATATTATGCAATCATCTGCAAATAACCATATATTTGAGTCAACGTCCCTCCAAATATAGTTAACATAAACCAGGAATAGTAGCAGTCCTAAAACTCTCCCTTCTGGCACTACCGACATCACTCTGACTTCTTCAGATAGGTGCCCGTCTACTCTGACTCTCTGTGAGCATCCTAAAAGAAATTCCTGTAGCCACACGACTACCCTGAAATCCATTCCAGTTTCGCCTATTTTTGTAAGTAACCTATCATGTGGGACCAAATCGGAGGCCTTTGAAAAAACTATTATTATTGCATCTGGCCTGACCCCCTCATCCATGGCATCAGTAATATCCTGACAGACTGCGACTAACTGACTTTCACACGAGTACCCTGGTCTAGGGCCATGTTGCCCCTCGTATAGTCACTCTTTTCCCAAATTTGTCTTAGATATCCTACTATAACATGCTCCATTTGTTTGTAAACCATTGATGTTAAACTGATCGGTCTCCCCCTTTGTAAATAGGGACCACTATAGCCACTTTCCAGTCCCCTGGGACAGCTCCATTGTTCACTGTTATGTCCAGCAATCTCACAAGGTACGGAATCATGGCTTCCCCACCCAACTTTAGAATTGCCCCAGGAATACCATCTGGCCTGATGGATTTCTTTCTCCTGATTGCTGATAATCACTTCCTTATAATATTTATATTAATATTGAAGGGATTAGCTAATCTGTTGATTGGATTTGTGGATTGTTTCACTCACAACTGAATACAGATGCATAATAAGAATTTAAGGTGTTGGTCTTTTCTATTGGATCTGTGATGGGATTGTCATTATAGCCTTTGACTGCCGGGATATTTTCTCTATTTCCTCTGCACCTTTTAACATATCTGAAAAACTCTGCCCAGCAATTAACCTCTTTTGTAAGACCGAATGTCTGAAAGTCTCCTGAGCCTTCCTTTTTTCTACCAGTAACTCCCTAGATAAACGTTTCAACTCCTCTCAGTAATGTTCTTCAAATTCCCTCTTATTGTACACCCTCACCTTTATCTTTAACCATTTAACTTCTCTGTTATAACACTCTGGATGCGGATTTTTACTCAGAATTTTATGAGGCACAAAACGTTCCATACCATTGAAAACTATGTCCTTAGAACTTTTCCATATCTTCTCTACACAGCTACCATTCCCAGCCCACAAGATAAACTTTTCCCTAAGAAAGGTTTGTAAACCTAAAAGGTCTGTCTTATTGTATAATGGGACTATCCTTTTCACTTTGGTTGTTGATAAATATCATCGCATTCTACTTCCAATAATACCCTGCTATGATCACTGATTCCAGGTACAATGTTACAAGAGGTAAGTAAATTATCAGGTGTGAGGAGGTAAATGTCCAGTAAGGCTTCTCCTCTTGTCAGACTGCCTACAATCTGGGTATAGCCATTATTCCATAGTACTTTGTTTACCAATGCCTGAAAGGCGCTTGTTTCTTCCACATTCCCATTCCAGTTTGCCAGAGGTAAGATCAAATTTCCACCTATGATACTTCTTCTCACTGCGTCTCGTGTAATTTGGGTACGGGCCTTTCTATCACCAGCATATCCTCATTTGGGGCTCTGTAAATATCTATACTTTCCCACGAATATTTTGGATCAATTCCTTTCACTTTGACCACAATCATTTCTGCTTCCTCATCACATTTCCTTCATTATTTTCTGAGCATAAAATTGTTTTAGAAAAGAAATGTGTAGAATAAATTATAGATGTACCCTTTCCTAACATTTTGTTAACCAGTGAAGCAATGTGAGTAAGCTTTTGTTGAATAGCAATGATGTTATAGCCTAAGTATGCATGAATCACATTGCCATTTATCATAATAAACCACCAAACTTTAGCATTTCTTCTAAGTAATTAATCTAAGTTCTACTTGCTCTTCTCCTAATAAGGGAAGGCATTCTCTGAAATTAGATAGTCTATAACAAATGTGATCCCTATATTCATATTTTCGGTTTACTATTGATTTCAATTTGCCGTTCTCTAATAATCTCCAAAACTTAGACTCTGAAACATTTCAGTTACCTTTCAAACTATCAAAGTGATATGAATCTCACAAACAGTATTAATACAAGAAGGATTTAACAGTTCAATTTTATCTGAGATATTTCATGATGGTGCAGCACCAAGATATGGTAGAGTGATTATAAATTAATAGTTATCATGGATTTTGGAGGAACTGGTTCTGGTCTGCTTTAAGGTGATAGAGTACAATAATCGATTAGCGTAACTGAGGAAAGTAATGGATAAAAAGAATCGTGAAATCCAGAAGGAGCAAGGTACCACTGAGGGTAAGGTAAAAGGTAAAATTGCCCCTATGCTTAACTTAAACACCACATAAAAATCTACTGTCACTTTCTCACTGAGAAAGTTCAAAATATTGAGAGAGTACCTCATGTGCTCTTACTCTGGTGAGTTTCCTTCCATTTTTAACTTTAAAATTTCACAGATAAACTAAACATCAGGTATCAGACGGCCCACAGTGCATTAAATTACTCATCCAGATACTTGCCTTGCCTTCAGGGAAATATGACATAATAAATGTAGGATCTTAGACATAAATAAAAGTAAAGTCAAGAAACTAAAATATACACAGTTCTTCTCATATCAGTTACCTGTAGCATCTGTCAGTGAGGGGTGTAATAACAAGACGTGGAGTGTTGCCAAGGTATTCAAAACCATACATAACATCTGTAGTGACCATTGATACAACAATATGGTCCTCTACCCAATAGTAACGAAGTTGACTAATCCAGCTGAAATCCTTAGGTGAAGATATTTTCAAATCATGCAGATTCTGAACCACATCTCGAGCTGAAATTGTTTCATACCACACAAATTAATGTCATATCTTGAAGCTGTGTTTATTCAATGAACAGAGGTTACAAAGACAGTTGTCATGAACCATGACATATGACATAATTAAGTTACTCTAGATAATACAATTCTTTTTCAATCATAGCCCATAAATAATATTACTTGACTGTCTTTTTACAGACTATGAAGTTTTCATAAGGAAATTCAGGATATTAATTTTGATGTATGATGAGATATCTCTATCAGAATAACTGAATATTGAAAACAAATCACTACATTAACGAGATAAAATGAAAGTACTTAAAGACAGGTAACATTTGCTATTTTATGATTTACATTTCTTATAGAAATAAAATAAATACCATGCACATTGATAGCGATAAGAGCACAGATTGTGATGAGAGCACCAGAAGTCAACTGTCCTCTCACCATTTCCACCATTTCATCCATTTGATTGCTGGATTTAGTAATGTATTCCTGCAAAAAATATTTTATATATTAATATGCATGCTATTTTCAGTACTTATCTCATTACATTAAAGACTTGGCTACACCTCTTGTTAGACACAATACCCCCAAGTTACTGACACACGAGTAAAGAAATGACAAGTGTGTGTGAGTGTGAGTGTGTGTGTGTGTGTGTGTGTGTGAATATTAGGGTACATCAAGCAAACAAATGCCTGTTGCATTATCATTCTTCTATGAGTAAATTCTGTCAGGGAACAGAGCCATTGGAGGGCTCTGAAACCTTAAACATACCTTCTAAGTATAGCCATGAGCAAACATATTGTAGTGGGTAGACCCATTACTAGGTAACAATCATAAACATGTCTCCACAGCAATGAATCATCATGCAACAACAGATGAAATGTTGGAAACGGTATTCTCTATGGTGGTTTGTGCCAAGGAGTTATAAGCAGAATGAAGTGAAGACTTAGTTCAGACCGTAAAGAGGGCTATGTTCTCAGAAACCTGCAGCGCATCTCACTGCTACTGAGATGTAGTGTGAGCGCTGGAACATAAAAATTAATGAAGATAAGACTCAGGCCATCTACTGTTTACACTGACTTAAGCAACCTGACGCTCATCTTACACTGAATGGAAAAAATATCCCCTTTGTAAGTCATGTGAAATATCTTGGTGTAATCTTTATAAGAGGTTTACATGGAGACTGCACATAGAAATTACTCAAGCCAAGACCTACAGAACATTTATCAGAATCTACTCCCCATTCAAAAGTGAGCATTTAAGCGCCAACATTAAACTAACCGTCCACAGGGCACTGATCAAATCAGTAATGACTTATGCTTGTCACACCTAGGAATCTGGATATCTACCTCTTAAAACTGCAGCGCCTACAAAACAAAGTTCTCCGCACCAATGGAAATTTTCCAAAAGAGCACACTGGTCCATGATTTGCATACAGCTTTCATCCTTCCTTATGTATACAACTATAAAACAAAATTGTGCAGGCAACAAGCAGAAGTCATACAAAATCATGAGAATGAACAAGTTTGTGGTATAGGATAAGTTGAAGCCAGACAACGAAAAATAAGAGACTTAAACTTGGAGGTAGTTAAGCTCATGACAGCTCAAGTGACAAAGCTGCTGTTGCAGCATGAGATACGTAAGATAGGCATGATCTGCTTTGCAAAGCGTGTACTGACAGAGAACTTGTCTATAGAACAGAAGGAAGAATTTTCAATAACACGTCACATGTGTGACACATAAACATGATGAAAGACCAAGCATATTCATAAGAGAAAAACCATCTTCTCATTGGAGAGGGGGTTACATAAGAATTATGACTGATAGGGTTCAGTTAAAAAAAGTCTCTGGTTATGAGTCTCAAGGGGCTTGATGAACAGATGAACTGATTGGTGCTAAACTGCCAGCTGTAAAGTAACTCTAACTTTGATTTTGACTTAGTTCAGTTATTGGAGTTGTGGGATCCGTGTCAGATGGTATGAATGTAAGCAGACAGTGTTAAAACCCATCACCAGGAAATTTCTAGCGATGACAGAGAAGACTTTATGTGTGCTGCAGTTACAGTGATATTTGGAGTATGTAACTCAGTGAGATTCTTATAATTACTTGCAGTTATGACCCATAAGTGGTCAATAAATCCAACTATCCAAAACCCTGTTGAGAGTCGCTCATACAAGTTACAACTGGTATCAGAAGTGGGCTATTATTTCTCTTTGAATGGCCTCTGTTCTGGCATGGTGGATATCCATGCAGGAGATGAGAGTACTTTGAAGGACTTCAAACTTCTCACTATTAGTATTTATTTCAGATTCGATCTTCACTTCCAGCCTCGCCATCAATTCTTCTTTCGTTTCCTTTAGAGTCATGTTCACCTTGGCTTGGCTGGTTCTTGTTCTTTCTTTCATTTCCTTTAGATTTACATCCACCTTGGCTTCAATGCTGGCCCATATTTCTGCTTGGCTGGTGTCCTTTTTTTGGCCATCATTTACTTTACTCATTCCATTTTTGTATTATGGTGGTATAACAATAGAGATCCAATGCAGTTTCCAACCCAGCTACTTCAGACACTAGCTGCCCTGTGTTAGAGTGACTCTCAATGGGGTTTTGGATTTGATATTGGATTTATTGACCACTTGCGCATCGTAATTACAAGTAGCTATAACAGCCTCATAGAATCACACACTCCAAACATCACTGTAACTACAACACATATAAAGTCTCCTCAGTCTTCACTAGTTGTTTCCTGGCAATAGATTTTATGGCTGGAGAGCCTTCACCTTCTGTGCTGTCTTCTCATCACAGACTCCCTTACAATTCTCTCAGTGCTTCAACTGACTAACTCCAAGGCTGGTGGCCATTTCACAACATCCTCTTAGTCTTTTCTTCACAGCCTGACTTTCAACTTACTAGCTCAGCTGGTGTCCTCGTTATATATAACACCTTTGCATGTACTGAGTAGAAAACACCATTTCCAACAATTCCTCTATTATTGCAGTTCAACTGTTGCTTGTTAAGAGTCTGCTGCCTAGCAATGGCTGTTGTATTTTTGTTTGTTTCGTGGTCATCGCCTAGAACTGGGTCTATATACCTCAATATGATGTATATAAGTGTCATTATTACATCACATCTATTACATGGTAACATTAGGACTAAAGCTGGAACACAGCTAAGAACCAACTTCACTTTAATTATTAACAAAATCATAAACAACATAAGTAGATTCTAAACAGTTCTGATGATGGTGTATAACACAGTGACTGAAGTTATCCCTTTCTAAAGGATGGAAACAGATCTGGTTTCTGAAATGTGTTTTCTAATTTCTAAATTACATGATGATGGACAAGTCTAAAAACCCAGTAATTCTGAGCATAAATAATATGTTAACACATTAATGATAATAATGTTAACAAGAACATTTATACTAACTACAGTGTTACAGCAACATGAATGAAACCTTTTCTAAGCAGAAGACACTCAGCAGTGAAGGAGATAATGAGTATAAGCACTGTTACATCTCAGAAGATAGTAGTCTTCTGTTCTATATGTTAGACTTGTTATTTATCTCACAGAGCTGACTAACAGTACAGAATAAAGTAACATGCCAACAGAGATTACATATATCCTCCATACTCAATATACCACTCTTTGAAATGATATATGAAATAATCCCATATTGATACACACAACAATCCATGTCCAGCAACAGTGGCAAATGTAACATTCATGTTTCATACCTGAAGAGGACATTACTTTTAATAACAATTTCATTCTAATAATTGCAAATTTAACAAAAACTGCATGGTCTTTGAAGACTGATACTGATAGGGTCTACCTGTTGGAATATTAGGTATATCAATACAGAAATATCAATGCCATATACCTCAACAGTCATGCTCTGAACTGAACTGACTTACAGGAAGTTTCCTATTTTCCATTGCCTCAGTGACTTCAGCAGTCCAGTGTATGCAGTTTCCACATATGACAACCTGACCAGGCCACTTCAGCAACCACTTACTGCGTGGTGACTTAAAGTAATCTTGCACTGCCATCATACAGGAGTCTTTCACAGACTGTACCATCTGCTGCTCCACTTGGGACAGCCACTTTTCAACCATACCCTGCAAATGTACAATTATCAACCAACCAGCGTTACAGACACATTAAAATAATTTAGAAAATGAAGATTTAATTGAATTATTTCATTCATTCATTCATTCATTTATTTTTCGTTCCATGGATCCACAATACAAGTGAGATATAGGACATGTCCATACAGTGATTATTCTTAAAATTAATAGAGCAAGAACCAAATACATAAATAAAAAAGTATAAAATACAAAATTGAAACAAAACATGTAGAATTAAATAGATTCCAGTCATATAAGTTACTTTAATAAAACATGCAGTTTAAATTTAAACAATGTCAGTTTGAACATATCACAGAAATTGCTTAGGTGACTAGACTAGAATAGTAGAATCATGACTAGAATAATACTAATAAAAAACTGGATGATCAACAGGTGATTCTAGTGAATGCATAATCATTAACTTATAATGATTTATATTAACAATCACATACACTTTATACATTGCACATTCAAGTTAAATATGATGCTGGTCCTTCAGCTGTTCATTTAACTCATACACACATTTAATAATATATTGTCACATATCGGGCGTATATCGCGACAAATAACTTCACGATGTATTTGATATAGCGAATTTTATTTCACATTCGCTCATACAATCACCCAAATTACAGATTTACGATTACTGC